CTGGCTACTCCATCACTTGCATGGGGCAAGGCTATAGGAAAGGAAAGCAACAAAGTTATACCAAGTCTGTGAGTGTATTAGAGAGCAGCAGGTCATGTAGAGTGTGAGTGTATTAGAGAGCAGCACGGTAATGTAGAGTGTATACAATAGTCCTCTCTTCCCATGGCAATCTACTACTGCCTTTGTTCTCTCCTTCCTTCATTTAGCCCAGCACTCACTGCCTACTATTGTTAGATTTGAGTTCTACATTAAGAGCGAATCTAAGCTAGAGTCATAGCATGGCCCTGACTTTTGTCAAACTGTTTGCTTGAAAAAAATTTGAAGGGATGGCACCAAAAGACTCTTTGAACAATAATAAGTATTATGAACTGTGATGATTATGATTCTTAAAGAGTCACTTTATCCTTGGTTGTCTGTAATATATTTCATGCCTGAAATTTCTTTACATTGCATGAAAAGGTGTGTTCAACAGTGACTCTCCAGTTGTTTTGGTCTGCATCGCCCACAATTGTTTGCTAGTTGACTGTCAAATAATTCAGTGATACACAGTCCAGAAACAAAGCTGGCACAGGTAGGGGTGGCTGAGAAATCACTAGCTTTATTCCAGTAAATTGATCACAGCCAGCTGAAACATGCCTTTAGTTCTCCATGCTTTACAGGAATAAAATAATAAACAAACACTTCTTTTCCATAAAGTATTTTTTGTCCCTTCAAAAAAAGTAAAATAAAATAAACCTATGGATTACAAACAGTTTAAGGTACATTAAAATCCCCTTGTATTATCTCTCCTTTACAGGAAAACCAACCTTTTCATTCAAGCCAAAAGCACCAACCATGTTTACGAACTACTCACATTGAATACTAATAAAAGTAGTCTTAGACACTAGTGTTGGACTTTCACTGAAATTCCAACACTGTCTAAGACTACTTTTCTTAGTATTTTTCCTACACATGACAAAAAGGCAGAGCTAGCTTTGGTTAAGCTTTGTCACGATCCTGCAGTCTATAGACTTCAGTGTTGCACTCTTGTGCATGCGCAAGATTACAATGCTGAGGTGGATTCCAGTCAACTAGAGCTCCAGGAGCTGAAGAGGACTGTCTATAAACACATGGTGGTAGTATAACTCACCTTCACCTAGACCCCTCAGCTACTGCACTGGCAGTGGAGCAGTCACCGTCAGGGGGTCTTTGCCAATTTTGACTGACTGTGACAAAGCCAGGTAAAGAAATGCATATATAATATAATATCATGCTATATCAATGGGAGTTACGCTAATGTTTACATCCACTCCCCTGCTATGTAATTTGCCCAGGCTGGGAACACTTAAGTAAGATGCACCTGACCTATGATGCCAAACACATTGACTTCATATCTTTCTCCATTTTTATATTCCTTTAGCAAAGATGCACTTGTAAGAGTAATATTAAAACAACTACAGCACATGTAATGGACTATAGGAGAACTGCCTGGGAGAGGGTTCTTTTCTTCTCCCTATCACAAATTTTTCAACATAGAATACTTTGATCGCAATGTTAAGAATTGAGTCTGTGAGGACTATATTTTTGAATAATAATTTTTTTTTAAAGGTGTACATTTGCTAGCATATTTTATGATATTTGCTTATAACATAAATGAGTGTAACCATGGAAGGCATTATTACACTCATTTCCACAGTGTCTTTGGAAATTATTTTATTTAAAAAGTCAACCAGTCTTTAAAAATGTGATTTTACACATATAATTATCAGTAATCGGTTTTAATGTCAAATAACATATTCCAGAATAGCCCATCAATCTGGCCTTAACTCCAACCTCACCCCATAAAAAGGCAGAGTTTGTTTTAGCTATTTTAAATGTTAAAGGGACACTATAGTCACCCAGACCACTTCAGCTCAATGAAGTGGTCTGGGTGTCAGGTCCCTATAGGGTTAGCCCTGCCTGATGTAAACATAGCAGTTCTTGAGAAACTGCTATGTTTACATCTGGGTTTAAGGCAGCCTCTAGTGGCTGTCGCATCGGCAACGATTGAGGCATATTATACCTCAATCACGCAGAGCGTCCATAGGAAAGCATTGAAAAATGCTTTCCTACGGACACTTTGAATAGGCGCTGGTGACGTCAGACAAGGATGCTGACGTCGGCGGGGGAGGAGAGGTAAGGGAGCCCGGCAGGGGAAAAGAGTGAGTAGCTGAAGGGGTTTCAACCCCTTCAGCGCCGCGGGAGGGAGACCCTGAGGGTGGGGGCACCCTCAGGGTACTATAGAGTCCCTTTAAGTGGTCTAAATAAATTTGTAAAATAGAAATCGATGTAACTAAAATCTCAATAGTTGCTAGACATGTACACAAGTGATAAGATCTGCTCAAATATAACTGTTACAGTATATAAAAAAAAAATATATATATATATATATTTATTTATTTTTTTTTTTTTAAATGCTAGTCGAGGAAAGGATATATTCTTTGTATGACATATTTTTAAATGATCCTAGCTCCAGGGAGTGTCTTAAAAATGCGTTAATGACAGGCTTTGCTTTTTTCAGGATAGCAAATGAAAAACAGTGCTCACCTCACACCACATAATTCTAACTGGTCATAAGCATTCAGGAAAACATACAATCATACAAAATCATTGAGAATGTCCCAAAATAAAGAGTACACTTGTACAACACAGAGTATCTGAATAAACTGCAAACATACAGTACATACATGTTGAGATTTTTTCACCTATTTTGTCCTGTGGACAAATATTGATCACATCAACACTGTATGTGTCAAGCTGAGCGGGATTTTAGCTTTCTAATTAAGCAGCTAAACTATACAGTATGGACAATATTCAAAAGAGTTTATTCCTTAAACAGCGAATTGAAGTATAATTGAGACACAAATAGGCATTTGGTATAATAGATC